TATATATTTAATGATTTTCACATAACGGAGATGAAAGGTTCATGTACAGATTGAATATAATGTACGCAGGAAGTGCCGGACTGAATTATACTCAGAAGGTGTTGGGTTGGATAACTTATTAGTCTAAGTGATTCCAGTGAAATGCATTAATATTTTCTTCTGTTTAGAAAAATGCAATATTTATAGCGGATGCGGGACGGTTTTTTTTCAAGATTTTTCTTTTTAGTATATAAATTAATAAAAGGAGTTTTTTCAGATTAGTGTTGCTATTTCATACTTAAATTGGTGGCAGGAGGAGAAATGGATAGTCATAGTTATTACGGTAGTGGTGGTTGTCCAACTTGGATGAGAATCGGTAGTGCTTCATCGGATATTGCATCAACAGTAGCATCACAGCAACAGCAACAACAGCAGCGGTTTTATTATCCAATGTCTTTGAATAGTATTCTTAAAAATAAGGCAAATAAAATAAGCGGTGGCGGTGGTGTAGGATATCAAGACTATCAAAATCATTATCCACAGCAACAACAGCAACAACAACAACAACAGTATCCTGGGCCTGATCTTCATGGTGCAGGTTATTATGGTTGTACTGGTTTCTTTCCAAAACAACCGCAACAGTCAGCCGTTTCGTCTGGTGTAAAGCGTCGACGTATTGGTGCTACCTTTCCGAAAAAAGTGAGTGATAATGATGGTACTTCATAATGCTTAAAATTACTTCTACTAAAAGGAAATTGAAACCTTTAACGGCTTGATCAGGATCTTCCTTAATCTGTTTTAATTTTGTTCATTTTTCTGTTAATGCATAGTTTTTTCCAAGATTAAATCTATTTTTTGTTTTATTTTTAGAAAATTATAAATTCGTTTTCTTTTTTTTGAACCTCCTATTATGTAGCAATTTTTACAATGATACTGCGTATCATCAAATTTACAGAATCGTTTCTGTTACGGGATGGATGCAACTTATCCACCGCCAAATAAAAAACTTAGAAGTTACTCCACAACTGGCAAAACGGCCGCAATGATTCTCAATGAATTATATCCGGAATTCAAGGACCAGTGTTCTTATAAGACGGTATGTATTTATTTCAATTATTCATACACAGTCCTCTGTCATTCTTGATTTTTGCAGACCTAATGGCTTAAACTAATCAACGGGTAGGATCATAAATTTCATGGTAAGATCGAAATGTCCATGAAAATCTTTTATTATCTTCAGACCTTTTGGAAATTTACTGCATTTTACTGCATTTACTGAATTTTTTTGATGCAGGTTTTTTATTCCGAAACCAAGTGTATGGGAAGGAAGGAAGAATAGCGCTAGACAGAAATTTTTTACTACGAAATTTTGAATTTGAAATTTTACTATGAAATTTTGAATTATATTCCAGTTTTGAATAATTTAGATAATAGTTAACAAATTACCGCGTTTCGAATGCTGCTTTACGGTGCAAGCTAAGACATTCTGTGCGGAAGGCTCGAATAAAAAAGCTGCAAAACAAGTACTGTTATTCGCCTTTTTGTCACGTTAAATTTCATTTTTTGTTAATCGCAGATTTACTTTATCATAACATAAATTACTGTTACAAGCTTATTTGAACCTGGCTATATTTATGTCTTCAAGGTTTTTCTCGTAGTCAGTGCATTCTTGTTGTTTACAGCTTGCATGTGAATTAGCTTTGAAAGAATTGCGACCTGATATATTGCTGGACGTTTCGGTTTCAGCATCGGAATCAAAAAAATTCGGAAATTACACTTTCTGTTCGCCACAGACGAACGGGACAGAGGTAGATTATAAATCAGCCTTTATAAATAAAGAGCAACTATATCTTTCGTGTAAATGGTGTATACAGTAAATGAAATCTTCACTTTAAATCTTATCGTGAATATAAAAGACTTTTTTCGATTCTTCTTTTCTTTGAGAATTTAGTGTGCATGGCTTCATAGCGCAAACTGTATATACTGAAATCTGAAAGAAAAAAATTGGAGAAGAAAATATGTATAAAATCGTTTGTATTAGGAATAGTATTTGTTCATGCACTACGATGGTTCATTTTATTAGGAACCTTCAACTGTATGAGAATAATTGGATGGAAAAAGTAATTGAGTTGTTTGAAACTTACATGGAACTGCAATACATACAGAATGAATTGAGTTTTCACTCAACAGATATATGACAACTCGAAAATATTAGCAGAAATAATCATTTTATTAAACAGTGGGAACAATTGCTTTTGGTTACGCATTTAGCTGTCCACATTTGAATTGCTGACGAAATTTCTGATAGTTATACGCAAAAAATGGTTGATAAGCATGATTATGTTTTTTCTTTTTCCATCAAGATTAATGGAGATTTTGGTTCTTATGGAATTTATAGAAAACAATCTTTAATTAAACTTTTGTGTGGACTGTCAGATGAAAGTCGTTCTTTATTTTCTATCCTGTTTAGAATTGATTTAAAAATTATCACAAAGGAATTTTTTCCAGGAAAGCCGAAAAAAAGGATATGCTACTTGCAACTCTCTCCATGACTTCTTTCTTCGTCTGTGTAGGGTATGTAATTTAATTATAGAATTGTTTCCATCTCTCATGTTCTTACTTCGTTTTAATGGTATTTGATGAGAGTTGTGTCTCAGGATAAGGAGCGTAATAGCGATGAGAAATTCACACCGCAGTTCACCTTTAGTGAACTTCCAACAACGGATACTGATGGCAAATGTCCGAAAAAATTCAAGTTAGTGCAGTCAATTTTCTTGTTTTATTTTGTTCACTTGTTCACACTATTATATATCTGTAAATCGCATTGATCGAGATCACGGTCATATTGCAATACCAAATGAGTCCAAATACTTCAAATTACATCACTGTTCTTTAAGTTTATTCTATATTGCTAGCTAAACTGTTACTCACAAAGGTTATTTTAGCCTATTAAATCAGTGGGTGAATTAATGGAATAAAAAGTTCTACTTTTCACTGGGAGATAGCTCATCTTCGGCATAAACTATCTCCATAAGTTGCGATTATCCGAATGTTGTGGAAGTTTTTTGTTGATGTTGGAGGTATTGGCTGACGAAGGGTTTATTCTTGTACGAACGTTATAAAATAATTATTAGAGGATATCGTGGATAGAGTCGATCATTAGTTGGTAAAACTGCTGATGAAGGCGGTTTTACTCATACCGCTTGTAACACTGGTATTGATGAAACTAACTACCAATTGAGACGCACAGTTTGTAATCCTTTTGAACACAAAGAGATAATACAGATATCTAAAACACAAATTGTAAAATTATTTTAGTTGTTTTAATAGGTTTGTATTACAAGATTATCTCAGTTTTCCGATCCGAATTTCTTTTTTCATAATTTGATCAGCAATCTTCTATTTCTGGATTGGTTTTGACAAGTTTTCAGATGTATGTTGGTTTTGCCCCATCAGGGAAAAGTTTATTCCCACGAAGGCTATGGAAAATCACCTATCAAAAATGCCGTCATCCGTGAGGTATATTTGTTATAATTTCTTTGTTGCTTTTATCATTCATTTCATTATATTTTCTCATGTTCGTTGATCTATCTGACAATTTCTTACAGGCGTTAGTTGATGTTTTCGATGTGCCACAAGAAGAATTAAAAATGGTGGAACGCCGCACTATGAATCTCAAACCAGGCAAACCAATGCAAGTATGATTTTCTAGCAATTTTAGTTTTTGTAGCAGTCTTTTGTGCTTTAGAGTTATTATATTATTATCTCACAACTGCACAAAAAAGCGAATGGATAATCTTACTTTGCATGTGGGAAAAGCTATTGAGACTTACAAGATACACTTGTCGTAACCGTATTAAACTGGATTCCGGAAGTGAGGTTAGTTACCATCAATGTATGTCTGAATTGTATCTGATGCAGCTGTGAAACTACAGTTAATTCTTTTTAAAGGGTACCTTTGCAGCAGTTATATTTTAAATATAACACCAGATAAGTTGTAGAAGTCGAAATTAATAGAATAGGGGAAAAAAGACTAGGGAAGGAAGACTCGATAAAGATTAAAAAATGTAATGAAATGAAATGAAGTGATTTTCGACTAACTGTGGGTCAGACGAAGAAAAAAATCTAGATATCAAGATATCAAAGCTGATCTAGATATCAAAGCTTTTTCATCGTAAAATCGAATCGGGTATCTGCATCGCCAACATACCGTATTATTTCCTTTTTATTTGGCCCGTCCATGTGATTTCATTCACAAAAGTTTTAGAGGATTTTACCTTCATGTATTACACCAATAATAAAGAAGACTAAATAAATGGTGATCAGTCAGAGCTCAAGCATTCGCTTTTTTTGAAAGTGTTGTGTGGTGGTAATATTTGCCTTGAGGTTTTGATACAAGCGCTCAATTTCTACGATCGTACCATGCAAGTGGATGTGGACACCGTTGACGGAAAACCCGTCCAAGGAAATAGTCGATTCATCTGCCGCATTACGCTCGACAATAATAGTAAGCATGTGCTGGCGACTTGTATTCACCAAAAATTGATGTTATCTATTTCTTTTGTAAAGGGAAGTAAAAAGAAAAGTGCATTACGGTCATTACAGGTCGTTATTACATGTTTTATTTTGTGTGCTAAGAGCGGTTTTAAGATTATTTTCTTTTTCGTAGATTGAAAATCATTAAATAAATTTGGTGTAACAGAAGCCATTAATTCGACTATCGTCCTTTTGTCCTGTTTAATTGATATTATTAATAGATGAAGAATTGTAATGGCGACTCATATCTTGAGCATTTTTATGTTCGAATATGTTTGAAGGAGCGTTGTGTTACCATTAGAAATCTCCTCACACTGAGTTTATGAGTAATTTCGAGTAGTGAGAGGATATGTTACCGAAGTTTCGCGATACCATTATGTTAGAAAGTCAACAAACTTTAGAAATTTTAACCTAAGTTTATCGAATTCACACTTCATCTCTAATATACTATAAAAATTTGCGAAATATATTAGGGTCATTTTTGTAATAAATTGGAATTTCATTGTTGGATTTGAAAATGACTGAGTAACATGCGCGTAAGAATGATAGATTGTGCGCGCAATATTAACGTGTCAAATTTGTGAATTTTTAGAGACCATTATTGGTCCACCTCAAGATAACAAGCAAAAAGCCAAGGATTCCGCATGCGAAAAAGTACTTCTCGAAGAGCTCGACTTAACTATGCCATCGGAAGACGTCAAAGTGAAGAGGGCAGCTGCTGTTCTGTCGCCTCCATATGCTTTACATCAGCTAATGCTGAAACAAAATGTAAGTGCTCTTACATCAAAGAAAACATTTTCTCAAACTAATAGTTACGTAAGAATAGTAAGAATAAGAACTTTATAGTTGGCAAGTTAATAATATAGTTTTTTTTTTTTTGAGACCATTCATGCAGTTAACAAGCTTGAAGATTAATGGAATAATAAAATTGAGTAGAAAAGATGAAAAAATACCATACTTAGAAAAGCTTATACATGAATAATCCTTATATTAATGTGAAATATTAATGTGTTATTGGAAAATTTTAATAGGGCTAATAAAATGAGCACATTCACGATTAATGGTTTATTCTTATGAAATTAGTCCAATTACAAACAGCTGTGACTTTTTTCGAAAAATAAGTTTTTGAGCGATGAAAATTCTTCACTTTTTTAATTAAATTATCGTATTAAGAACCATCAATCAAAGGGTTGATGATGGCACGACGTGCCTCATGGTATAGTTGTATAAGTTTGTCAAAGCAATATTCAGTGAGATGTTGTTATCAGCAATTTAACCCGCAAATGAAACTTTTAGATTTCCATTCAAACTTATTTGCAGCGTAAAAAGAACCCAGACATAGTATATGATGAACCACAAGATATCAGCGGAGTACCCAGTAAACCACCAATGTTCAAATGTACATTAACGATAAATGGCACAGATAAGTTTGAAGGTGTTGGGCAATCGAAGAAAACTGCTAAAAGTGCTGCTGCTGAGCAAGCATTAACTAAGTTGTTCAAGGTTCATTTCTAAACTATTGAAATTTGAGAAAATATATTCAAGGAACACTAAAAAGACTATGTATACGTAATATATTATGCAGATTGTATGTCTCAGTAAAGTTGAAAATAGTATAATTGTTAGAAGTGTGTTTTTCTTAAAAAGATGGTAACTGGGGAATTTTCGCAGAAATAAGTTCGGAATAGTAAGTGCCAAATCCGATCTCATAGTTTTATTGTTTATGGCGTATGTTTTACAATCCTAGATTCATTGCTTGAGATCGAGCTATGAATCAAGTAGATAAAACCGTCGGGTAGGATTAATAGCAAAAGGCAGAATATGCTGTAAATTACATAGTAAATTAAAGCAGAAAGTGGAATAGATGAAACAGTTTTTGTCTATAAAAATTAATTTCTCTCTTTTGACTGCCGTTCATTTGAAGTTATATTTTGTGTTATTCTCGCTGTTTTTAGTTTGATCTCTGCGCTGAAAATGCGCTTGAAATGATATCAATGAAAAAATTGAGGAACGAAGAAGATGTGCTTTTTTGTACCGATATCTGCACTTTTGTTCGTCGGGAGTATGAGGGAATATGCCACCAGCAAGCATGTCCTATAACTACTCATATTTCTGCGTAAGTTTCATTCATGTTCAAAATAAATTATGGAAATTAGTCTGAAAAATAATCTTTTAATTTGACCTAAAGCGCGTTTTTACATTTTAGTGTTACTCGGTTGTACGTCGTTCTCAGGTATTTAGTTTCAGTTTTGTTCTTATTGCACCAGATGGTGAAAAACAATTGGTTGCGATCGGAGCAGGCCGTAACGCCGTTATTGACGGTCAAATCTTAACAAATGCACAAGGCAATGTGCTTATTCATATGCAAAGTAAAGATTTTTTTAAATTAAATTCAGTTCAACTTGGTTTTTTTAAGTTCAAAATAAATAAATTGAATTATGGATGTTTGGTATTACTTAAATTTCTAGAACAGATTTTTCCATCATATTTCACTTGTAAAAAATTTTTCAGGTACGGTCTTAGCACGTCGTGCATTTGTTCTCTTCCTGCACGGCCAAATAAGGAACCATAACGCAGAAAATAGTGTTGTGGAACGTTCCCCAACATCAAATAAATTCCGTCTCAAAGTTTGTTTCATGTTTCCAAAAGTACTTCATGCTTGATATAGATGCATTTGTATATCAATTTTCATTTGTATATCGATGTAGATGCATTTGTATATCAATATTAATATCAATTTTCTATATCACCAGACAGCATTAGTTGGTGCTTCAGATATTCTTTATTATTTCGATTTTCTTCTTTTTTCTTATAGTTACTCTTACTGGAGGGTTTTCTTCCAAGAACAATTAATTATCCATTTCTAGACTGGTTACCAAGTTGTACTATACATATCATTCCCACCAAATTTGCGCACTAATGGTGAAGTACAAAAGTTATCATGCTATATGGGAGGAGTTCGACTGGAAGACCCTCCGGAAAACCCACAGACTTTCACTCATATCGGAACTTCCGGACATGTTTATGTAATGAGTTTGGCCGATAAAATGTTGAAATGGAATTATCTGGGTTTGTTTCATGTTTTGTTGCGAGAAATTCAATGACAGTGATGAATAAATGTGATTCTATCCATTTTCTTATTAATACCCATTAATAAGAAAATGGATAGGAGTTTTAAGTTAGAAAGATATATATATTTTAATACTTAGCTTTGATTATTGATGTGTATTATTTGAGGATTACAAGGAGCACTTCTTTCACGTCTTTTGGAACCGATATTTATGACACATCTCTGTGTTGGTTCACCTTCCAATGACAAAGCGATCACACAAGCCGTGCTGCTTCGATTTGGTGATATGCGACGAGGTGAACTAGTAGTGAAATCTTCTCAGACCGGTGTAATACCTCACGGAGAAATGTATCATAACTGGGTTTCCGGAATAGGTATCTTTTTTGTTTAACTTACCTATTTTTCGTTAATTCTATTTGGTTCTCAATACAACCGCTCATTTCGAGTAGACATGAACCTTTGATTGAAATATGCATATTTCTCGAAACATCAATTTGCACATATGTTTCGATAATACATATCAATTTTTATTGGTTAGCAAACACTTACTGGAATTTATCGAGCTAATTCCCAGTTTGTCTGAAATTTCAAATTTCTTTCTGAAATTTTAAATCCAACTTTTGGAAACGTAGTCTGTATGAATACCATTTATATTTCAAGCAACCCAGAGTTCTTTTGCTTAAAGTTATACATTTGTGCGTCCAGTCAGATTTTTTTTGCTCAGGAACTATTGAACGTTTGGATCCATTTACCGGTCGTACAGTAACTGGTTCACCATCACGTCTTTGTAAATCAGAATTGTATGAAAGTTGGGCACGTGTAATGGCAACGGTTAAAGCGGATGGGTACAAACCTGTTTGGAGTTGTTCAGAAGCAAAACAAAGTGAAGTAGTATATCAGCAGGCATTACAAACATTCCACTTGCAACTCCATGAAAATGGCTTGGGCATGTGGCAGCGTAAGGAACCACAAGTTGATGGTTTCCAGTTGGCTTTTTTTGATGAATAATTACTTTTTGAAACATTTATTGTAATAAAGTATTCGGTGTTTAAAAAATTTTTTTGTGGAGTGTATGTAATAAAATTTTTTTTCACTTTAATTTTAACCTTTTAACTAAAGGTTTTGAAATATTGTAGATTTAAATTGGAAACTGCTATCATTTAGTCATGCCGAAAGAAATACCATTGTTTTATGCTTTTTGAATTACCATAATTACATTGTTGTTCTAGAATTTATATTTATTGTTCGGTTTGGTCGAGCTAGTTAGATCATATCAAAAAGAGCACTTTAATCAACAACGTTTTCTTACCCTTCATTTTATTTTAAAGCTTTATTTTAAAAAACTCTGTAATTCAAAATTGTAGGAGTCATGTATGTGTATCATTCTAATTGAGAATATTTCAATTCCGACAAAAAGTTTGTGATGAGGTATTATTCAGTTCCTTATTCTTTCTAGCTGTAATTTTTAGAATACTCATGAAAATATATGTTTGTTAATGAAATCAGCATTCTCCATATACACACATATATAAATTTCATATTTTTTCAAATCATCATTGTATGACAGTACTGTTCGAATTTTATCACTATTTTAGTTATTTAAAAGAGCATGTTCTCTTATACTCTATATTTTGCATATAATTATCGTATGTTCTGGCTGCAGATCTAAACAGAAAATATTAGAACCGGATCTCTTTTATTTATAATAATAAATTTGTCATGTAAGTCATTGTGCAATTAAGTACAGGAGCATTACATAGATCGATGTTTATCAGACATTTTTTTCGAAAATTGCAACGCAGTGCTAATTGTTCTTGTAACATCATAACATCATAACAAAAGATCTGGGACGTTTTTTCTCAACCCTCTCATCAGACAGGTAATTGTCGAACTAATTCTTCGATTTCCTAAACTAAGTATTTCGTAGGAAGTTATGGATTATTTGGCAATGTCAGAGTAAGAGAAACTATGCGTAGCATGTTTTTGTTTGGTTGATTTTTAGTTAATCGACACTTCTACTATAAACAGTTAGAGTTAATAAAAAAAGAACATATATTAGGTAACAACTACGAACTCCTCCTACTCATGATATATGTCAGAGATCAACCGAAATTATAATTCTCACCTAAGCTGGCAATTGTTTACAGCTTGACTTAAATTTAGAGTATTTAAAAATGTCGGAATTTGAATTTTTGATATGTCTTTATATACATAAGTTATGTGCAAAAACATAAATCATGAACATAAGAGATATATATAAATTGCTAGCAATATAAAAATTTAAATAATTTTCTACACAAGAGAAACGAAAACTTGTTAGATAACTTCAAGAACTGATAGATAATGATAAGATAATCAAAGGAAAAAAGATTTTAATAATTATTTAATTCTTTGTCTTTTCTACTTTGATAATATTTTTAGCTTTTCTAAAAATTTATCAATTACTGTTTCTCTTTTTTACTATCTTTTTAAAATTAAAATTAAATTTTGTCATATTTTTCAAATAAGAAAAACGAAGTGTCCACAATGAGAAATCTGATTGTATTTCCAATATATTGTAAATTTTCTTCCGAATCTCTTCCGATTCTCATTTTATTGACTACCGCATTCCTTCCTTTTTAAATTTTCCATCAAACCACATCTTCCAATAATTATATATGTTTCTGTGTGTGTATGTGTGTGTGCATGTGTGTACCTGTATGTGTGTGTATATGTGTATGTGAATGTGTACATATAAATATATATTACTATAATAACTGCAGCTACTATTACTACCACCTTTAGTATGCCAGTCGGCACTTTTTATCATATTTTAACGAAGGTGTGAGAATTCCGCCCCCCTCCCCCCCCAATTTCCCCCCTCCCCAATTTCAATAGTTAGTACTTGTTGCTTATCAATATGTATCGATTATTATCATAACTGATATAGTAACACAGTAGTAACGAAGATAATATTATCGTTCTTTTTACTTTCTTCCATTGACTTAATTATAATTTTTAATAAGATAATCTTTCATTACATTAATAATTTTAATTTATCTTGATACCATTTGCCACCATAACCTTATCCTGATCTTACGTTAATTTATGATAGCATTAATAATAATATTATCGATAATCTTAAGTTACCATAATTTTACCTATATGCTACTTAATTTTTCCTTGACCTTATGTTGATTCATAATAATAATGATAAAAACAATAATATCAATCATAATAACATGTTGTTATTTATCTGAAACAAAAATTTTTGAATTACTAGATTTTCTTTTTATCGATTACTTAATTAATTCTGTGTTATCATATTTTTTTTACGATAATTATATAAATAACATTTAGTTGTATAAATATTTGTTTTATCAGGTAAATATGAATGGATAGTTTTTGGATTAAATTAAATCAAATTGAATTATTAAATTCTATTAGAGTCCTATTTCTCTATTAGAGATAAAATACGCCCATATGGCATTTCCTAGCATTTAATATCTTCCAATTTAGAATTCTTCGCTGAAATATTCCATTGAAAATTCAAATTTGATGGTGGGCGCAACATAAATGTATATGAGCTGAAATCATTTCAATGCATTTATATCATGCAATTAACTTACTAATTAAATACTATTAAATATAGCATTAATTGAATATGAAAATGCTTAATAACTGTTAATTTAAATGAATAATTGAAATGAAAAAAAATGAATGAAATGATTTTAATGTTTCGGTGTTTCTTTCAAAATTAAACGAAAGATAAAAGAGAAATTAAAACCTTTAGGATAAATTATTCTTTTACAGTATTAAAAATGATGAAAGATTGTATAACATTGAATTCATAACTTTCAAATCAAATGACTGTCATTTTCTTAAATTGTTAAAAATTGAAAAGAAAAAAGTGATATTGCACATCTGCTTCGATTTTGTTGTCTTACGGTAAATATCAATCATATCGTATCGGTGTGATAAATAATAGTTAATCTGATTAATTCCTTCTTTTTGTTGAAAAAACCGGAATAAGTTTAATTTACTGGTTTTTCAATTAAAATTTTTGCATTTTAACTTCAAAATATTCGACAATAAATAACTTTGAGAATTTGAAATAATTTCAAAAAGAGTGATAATGCTTGTAAATTATCTTTGAGGTAAGTAATCATATGGAAGTGATAATCGTAGAAATGCCTTATTTATATCAAATAAAAAGGGTCATAGGTTAAAATTGTTTTAAGCAATGAAAAATTGATAAAATTTTTACTAAGCATGTGAAAATATACAAAATAATATTGATAGTGACGTATTCATCAATAATGGTTAATGATCATTGCAGTTATCAGTGATAATCAATAATTATGACGACCATTTATCATTTTCTCAATTTATTTCAATCATTTCTTCAACTATTATCAGAAACAAACCCAAAAAAAGTTGATTAATTTATTATTGTTAATCCATCAGATAGTATCTTAACAATTATTATAAGTCGAAAATACATATAAGAAAACAAAATAATCATTAGTTATGCCAATTTCAAGTTTTTAAATAAAATGTATGAGAAAGTTATACGATATAATTAATAGATAGAAATTTTTGCATATTTTGAACATTTTTTTGCAAAATATAAAAAATGGATTAATTATTAATTAAGTATTGTTTAAATGTACTTCGTGGAACTCATTTACAGAATAATTTGCATAAGTCAATTCATCAAATATTTAAGTACTATGATTTACCAAACGATCAACGAATGTCGTCGTATATTCTAACCTTCAAATAAAACATTATCATTTTTAAGCTGTAAATTTGTTATTGTAAAATGAAATCGTTTATTCACCATTTAAGTAGAAAATTGCCAACTTCATCTTCTTCTTGATTGAAATCTAACCAGTCCCTCTTATACCGCTATATTTCCATTCATTCTTTCTCCTCAGATTTAAACTATAAATTTATTATGCAAATATAATAATATATGAAATATTAGCAATGTAAATATTTAATTATTAAGACACATACAAGCAATCAATAAATGTAAATAAATAAACAAACAAATAAATAAACAAACAATGATAACTTTATGTTTGGAAAGAAAAAAAAGATGTAAAATTATTGGAAATTATCATCGTTGTAAAGATTTTGCATTCTTTCACATAATCCTTCTCAACAAACGATTAAGGAATGGTATTATATTGTATGAATAATTTCGATGTCTTCTGTTATATTGATAACAATAATGATAATAATGATAGTAAATAATGACAACAATTTACGGTTTAAGAAAGTATTAAACAAGGAGTTGAATAAATCTGGTTCCCTTTTCAAATAATTTACTCTCAAATTTATTACCTTCTTTCTTTCTTTCTTTCTTTCTTTAGCTCCCTCTTCAAAGAATAAATACAATTGAAATTATTTATATAATATTAAAAATAATTTAGCCTAAAATAAATAATATTAATAATTTATCAATTTATCGTTGATAAAATTATCTTTTCCTTTACTATAAAAATTATTCAGAATATTTCAAATTTTTTTTTGATAAAAATTAAAAAGTGATCATTTTTTGAAGTGAAATATATTGTATGTATTCCTTAAATTTGTTATTAAATATTATCACAATTTTAATGAAACTTTATCACTTCCCTTTTATCACAAAACTTTCAATATTATCACTTCAAATAATTTTCTCAAATTGTATTTTCATTAATTGGAATTATTAATTTTTCTTTTGGATTCACTAATTGTTATTTGGTAGTAAACAAAAAGTTAAGAAAATATTTTAAATTATTTTTTAATAGCAAAAAAAAATTCTATTTTTTCTTACCTTCTCTATACATAAATTTAAGGAATACATATATATGTGTATAATATTAAATGAAGATAGATAGGATAAAAGTAAACGAAGACAAAAAGAGCTCCACCGGTTCCGGTTTTTTGATACCATTCTTTTTTCAGGACGATCAAGTCGTTAGTAGCAGACCATTAATTTCGGTTATACATCCTCATTCATCCCATCATCTCCTCTT